CGCTCGCGCATCTCCCGCTCGATGCGCTCCTCGACGCCCGCCTGGCGGCCATCCGCGGCTTTGCGCACTTCGCCCGGTGTAGGGCAGCTAGTCGAAGGTTTTCGATTGCGCGGTGAAACGAGGGTGCGATGGACTCACTCGGGCACTCAGCGAAAGGCCATCCTCTGCTGCCAATACTGCTGGCCAGCGGGCTGCTTCGCCCTTTCTCGCCTCTCCAGCTATACGACTGCAACTGCAAGTCCCCGGGACTCAGACTGAGACATACGATCAGAAATTCAATGTCACAACTAAACGCGACATGTCACGAGCACGTGTCTCAACGCGTGGCGGGTACGCGTTGCGGCCTGAGTCTTGCCACCATTGCCGTTCTTGTTCTTCGATGGCGACTAATACCAACAAACTTCGCTCTGAAATGTCCTATATTCCTCGATCGAGCTCAAGAGTGAAGACAGTGAATCATCTGGCCGCCGAGCTGGAATCCAAGTTAGCCATCACCGATCCGCAAGTGAAAGGGAAGGCGAGGGCGAAAGCTCCTTCGAACGAAGAACGGCTTTCGAGAGTGATGCGTTCCGTGAACGCGATTTCCAAGAACCTTACCACCGCAATAGAGAACAATCGATCCCCCACCACTCGTCTCGACGAGTGGGCAGCCTCTGCTAGAAGTGCGTTAGCAGAACTGAGGACACTTCGACCTAAAGAGATTGACGTAGAACGTGCTGCTTCGAGCATTGTTAGAAAGCTGATTGCGCTTGAAATGGTGCGTTGTCTTCAAGGTATGACCGAGATTATTTTGGTGCAATGCTGACGTTCTTACAGGATGGTCCCGCTGCACAATGTCTACAGGACATGCATCAACCGCTCACTCGGTTGTACAACCACGCAAATCCAACAGTCCCCGAAGTGAAACTCACTCGGTTTGTGGTGCTTCCGCTTCCAAGTGAAGCCATCCAACTGTCAGATATTGTACTCGATCTCGTTGCAACTTTTTTCTTGCACCAAGCCATTTTATGCTGTAGAAGCCACACAAACCTTACGAGATTTGTTGCCGCTCTCGAGGACTCCTCTGTCCCAAGCCTCCTCGATTGGACCCCTTATCTCGCGCAACTGCCTCCAAAACAGCACGATTCTTTGTTCACTCGCATCTATACAGCAATAGCAACAATATCTAGCCCCTCCGACCTCAACGCGGATCAGATTCTCACGCTGAGAACCTTTGGTCTACTCTCGCTTCTGTGTGCTCGTCCCGGAGTGACTGCTCCTGACGCATTCTGGGATCAAGCATCAAAATGGATAAGGGTAACTGTGCAGCTGGGTAATGTCACAGTGAAGATGGTATTGCAAACGTGCGATAAACTGACGACAGCTGCACGCAACCGCGAGGATGGAGATGCCTTCACGCGGGGTAGAGGTTTCGCAAAATTTTGCGACTATTGGGCTGTCTGGGCGAAAGAGGTGAGCGCAATTATCGTATAACGCATTTTCAATAGCTGACGTGTATCACAGGCCGGAGATCTGAATGCCCTTGACAATATCTCGTCGTTTACGAAATGCACAGGCTCGAGCTCAACATGCACAGCGCCTCCTGGTAACTCTGAGCGTGGGGACGTGGCGGTTTTTGAAGTCACGATGGTGTCAACTGGGCTTGCCCAAGCAGAGATACTTTTTAACCAATGGCAACGTAAGTTGCTTCACACGTGATATGATCTTCCCTGATCCCGTTTTCAATTTAAGACTGCAGCGATGGCGATCGAACGACGAGGCTGCATGCCGCGAGGGTGGCAGTGAAATCATGTGCTTCCGTTCTTCACCTCCGGTCTTTAAACGAAGCGGGGCAGTCTCCTGCTCGTGGGGACGTCGATCGAAGCCGGGACCTAGATAAGGTCAAACGCGCATTGGAGCGTTTACGCCGGTCATTGGTGACGATTTTGGAGTGCAAGTCGCGAGATAATGACACCCATCCAGAAGATGCGAGACAAGCGGCCAGATCACTATTAGAAGACATCGCAGATATACTCATTGAAATCGTCCGCAATGCACGTGACTCAATATTTTGAGTGCTAATTTCTGTCATTAATTCCTCTGACATTTCTACAATAGGCTGCTGCGGATGGCGCTGAGGCGGATATAGACGTTCTCAGTTCTGTTACAGATTCTTTATTAGTCCTTGCGCGGACGGCACTCGTCGTCCGTGAACCAACATCATACGACGTGACATGGAACACACTGCAGCGGGCAAAATCCGTACTACAGCATTATTTAGAGGCTCGCTGTGCCATCTCACGCTCGGAGGCACCCTTGGATACGCCTGAACAATCACAAACCAGTGTCGGTAGTGACCTGCCATTAGCCAATCTCCTGCGCTGTATCTCCGGGGCCTTTCACAATTCTGCGGGGACTCTGTACCAAGCAGATCGAATATCTCATGCAGTGCGGTTCCTCACGGAGGGATGTGAGCTTGGGGCGCAAGTCTGGAAGATGTATCAGTCATCCTTGTCGCGAGAATTGAGTCCAAAGGATCGATACACTGACGGGTGGAAACAGCTTCAAGAACAGTTCTGGCGTAGGTGGGAGATACTGGCGGTGTGTCATGCGAAACTGGGCAATCGTAGGGTAAGTTCTTTTGAAAACATTCATTGATCGACTCAATTTTGACGAACGCCATCCTCGCCGTAGTTAGCGTATGATGGATTTGTGGAGTGTCTGAAGACTTCTCCGATCATGCAGACATCTGTTGCACAGGAATTTGCTACGTCGTCCGTTACCCGGGCATTCGCCCAGTCGCCATTGCTGAAGCAATTCGGTGGAATTATCGACAGAGTAACTCACACAGGTGCCTGTGATCTTCTCCTTGAGCCTTTCATGATCTCTGCAAAGCGATGGTTCGACCCATTTCTTGCCGCAGAGGGTCCAATATCCGATGTCCAGGATTGGAGAGCGGTGCTTGGAGCCATTTTAGAATACCAGGTCGCCGTTCTCTCGCGCAGTAGGTGGAAGCAAGGTGTATATCAGGTCCTGAAACACATTGTGGTCGACGCGCTCGACGTGTATGTGGCACAACAGTATCCAATACGGAGGGCTAGAGTATTATTGGCAGCCTTGGAATTGGAGTACTATGCCTCAGGAGACAGTCATCGGCCCGAGGGGCAGGTTATGCATGCGACGTTAGAGGAGATAAATTATGAAGTGAAAAGCCTTCTCACCTGTAAGGTAAGGCCTCACAATATGACACTGTTCTCTTGCTGTTGCTGATGCTGATTGGAAACCAGAATAATGGCTTCGATGCGAGTCTGACCCAATTTCGCAATCAATATCTAGCCAAATTATCCCTGTGGCTAGTCCTCCATCTGCATCGTCGCGCAAAGGAAGGCGAGTATAATACCTCTGCCATCGTCACAAGGGCGGAAGAGGCACGCCGAGTCCTAGAACTTATGGTCGCCGATGTCCCACGAAGCTCCCTGAGTAAAGCCTCCGGCAAAGTAGTGTCACCAAAAGTCACTCGCGCATCAAGCAAGAGAAGAGCCGCGAAAAGAACAGTCACGGTTGCTCCAACGAAGTTGCGAAGTGGTCTCCCGCGAGCAGAAGGTGCGAAACTTAGAGCCACAGCCCCTCCAGTAACCCCGAAAAAACGACCAGGTATCATCATTTCGATGCAATCGTGTCTTGTTGATCTGAACTTGCAATTTAGTTGACACAATCTCTTCGAATATTGGTATTCCTTTGCGCTCCCCTGTGGCATCCCAGAGTGTGGCTGCTGCATTTGATGATCTTTCTGACTTCTTCAGCCTTCTTCGTTAGTAAAATTATGTAGTATTATCTTCCGTGGTTGTTCAGGCTGACGATACATACCAGGCATGACTATCCAGCTTCTGGGACTACTCGGCCATACGATGCCGAAATTGCGCATGCTAATCATCGCGAAAAAGCTGACCGCGCGATATGTCGGCCCCGATTCTATTGGTGAGTAATATACACGCTGTGGAGAAGTGCGGCACTGAAAGTTCTGCAGAGCACGTTATGAGCTCGGTGGATCTTGCCCACTATTATTTCACCCTTGGAAAGGCAGACAAGGCCGTTACGATTTACAGTCATTTACTCAGCGTTGTGCGAAATGGTGTATTTTTGTCGGAGGTACGCGCGCTATACTTTTTGCGATACACTGAGGCACTCGCCTCTTTGGGCCGTATTCCGGAAAGGTTTGTCGTCGTGGCTAGTTACACATCCTCAAGGCACTAATTTTTTTTTTGCAGCGCGGGGTTCTACTGTGAGGCATTAGCACTCGCAGAA